CATTTAGGCTTTTTATGATCCGGTCTTAACATCCCACAACACAATAGTGTTATCATGACTACCAGATGCTAAAGTAGTGCCATCAGGAGAGAAACATACTGAAGAGACTAAATCACTATGACCTTTCAATTTGGCTTTTTATGATACTGTCTTAACATCCCATAATTATATAGTTTTATCATGACTACCTGATGCTAGAGTTGAACCATCAGGAGAGAAACATACAGATACGACTGAATTATTATGACCATTAATTTTAGCTATTTATGACCCTGTCTTAACATCCCACAACAAAATAGTTTTATCATGACTACTGTAGCTCCATCAGGAGAGAAACATACCGACATGACATAATCGACATGGCCATCCAATTTTGTTTTTTATTACCCTGTCTGAATATCCCATAAACAGATTGAGTTATCATCACTACCAGATGCTAATATAGTGCCATCAGGAAAGAAGCATATCGAGTTAACACACCCAGTATGACCATCGAATTTAAATAATTTTTTTCTTGTTTTAATATTCCATAAGCGGATTAAGTTCTCTTCGCTACCACATGCTATAGTAGTACAATCAGGTGAGAAGCATATAGATTAAATTGCTTTCTTACATCCTTCTAATTTGGCTTTTTATTATCCTGTCTTAACATCCCATAAACGGACAGAGTTATCATAACTACCAAATGCTAATAGAGTGCCATCAGGAGAGAAGCAAACTGATTTTACAGAAGAACTATGACCTTCCAATTTTGCTTTATAGTTTCCTGTTTTAACATCCCATAAAATGATAGATTTATCATCACTACCAGAAGCTAATGTAGTACCATCAGCAGAAATACAAACTGACCATACAATTCCCATATGAACTTTCAATTTAATCAACTCATGAATTTTAATATTCTTCCATTTACAATTATATAATTAAGCTCCATTCAAATTAATTCCACTAATGTCTACATTATTTAATTTCGATCCACTCAAATTACATCTTACAAAATTACCTCCTATTAAAGAAGTATGCTTAATCCTAATGTTTTCAAAGCATTAATTTTTCAGATCAACCTTCATTAAAACTAAGAAGTGTAATGAATTAGATCCGCATTAAATGAACTTCTTATCAAAAGCTTTTAGACGAACAAGGAATTTCAAAAATTCATTGATGTTTTTATCTTCTTGTATTTTTCTAATTAACTTTTCTTGAGTTTCTACATTAGCTTTCAAAGAATAGTCCTTATTATTAAAATCATGATCATAAATTGTTTTAATAATATTAGCCATCAAATTGATTCCATCATCTTAGTACAGCTTTAGAGTATCATGTTTTAAAAGGAAATCTTGACAATCAGAAATCTTCTTTTTTTTAAACATCTCAATAATCACACTGTATATTTATTCATTAATCTCTTTTAATGAAGCAAAAATTTCATACATATTATTGATATTGTACAAATTCAATAAATAATCAAAGGATTAAGATCGCTTAATAATCACTAGTATTATTTTTAAAAAAGACTCTATCACTCTTCTTAATTCTACTTCAATTGAAGCCTAAAGAAGTATTAATAAAAAGGTTTTCCAGAGAATATAAAATTTGAAGATAAATGTTTTTGGTGTTGTAAAAATTTTTTAGAATTCATAAATTTAATGAATTAAGCTAAAAATATGTTGTTTATTGAATTTTTAAAGCTCAATGTCCATTCTCTATCATTCATTTGAGTATTCATTTTAAGATATTATTTAAGGACTTCTTTTTATGGTTACTCACTGTCCCTTTATTTTTGAATGAGCCGTTCTTACATCTTTCCCAACAACCAAAATTAGAGTAGCTCTAATTGACTTTATTTATATGAATTAATGAATTACTAAAATCTAAAGACATTTAAATGTCTAGAAAGAAGTTTCAAGATAATTTAATAAATAAATAAAATTACGAGAAATCATCAAAATAATTCATCAGTTGTTGAGCAGATCTAATGAGCTATATTTTTACAAAAAATTACATAATTAATAGAAACAAATTTAAATTTTCAACAATGTTTACTCAAAAAATACAGACTTTCCTAATATGATAAATAGGGTTTCTAAATTAAAAATAACTTTTATCAAACTTACAAATTAATTCATTAATTTATCTTCTTTTAGCTGATCCTAGCTTTTAAACATCAAATGAGTAGTTGCTCATTTAAATAAAGTGAAAAAAACCTGAATTACTACTAAATACTTTTTTTTACACAAGCCCAAAATTATTTAATGTTGCAACACAAATTTTGTATAATATTTTGAATGAATCCTGATATTGTCTTCAAACAGCGAGTGAGTATATATTTGGAAAAGTTGATCTAAATTAAACTTTAAGCTTTCTTTTATGCAATAGTAGGAAGACACTTTATATGCACCTTTTAATTGTCATACAATAACAGTACATAATTTTTTCACTCCTCCGTATCTTAGATAATATATAGAAAATGACTATCCTTCTACTTAAATAGGATAAAGAATTCTAATTCTAAATTAACTTGATCACATCTTAATGATTTACTGTTTTCTTGATTAATATATTGATTATATAAAATAATTTAAAATTCCAGAGCAAAATTATTTCTCAACATATACCTCACTTAATTAATATTATTACAATAGAGAAAGCAGGTTTAAATTATAGAAAACTAAAAGTTTTCTCATATTAGGCTCTGTAAAAACTCTATATAATCATTGATATAATAAAAAATCATAATAAATTTAAGGTTATGCAATCCTTTTAATCCCTTTGTATTGATTCTAGAAAGGGATATAACTTCTGTATTCTCCTTATGCAAATATTTCTTAGTACAGAACTATAGTTTCATTTATATATCAAGAACCTTTAAAACAAAGTTCTATTTACCCATTTTATAATAAAAAATATTTTAGTTTAACTGAAAAACCTTTTAATAATGATAATGAAGTTTATCTGTATATAAAATTGAATCTCCTATTTTATTTAAAGCTTTTAAACATTCATCTAAATATTTAAAATAAATTTTACCTTTTCTCTCTTAGATCCATTAATCATTGAATTAAATCTTTAAACTCTTTCATAAAATATGATGGATTCATATTCTGATTTACTAAGATTAAATTTAGATATTTGGGAAGAATTTAATTTAGACTTAATTGATTATTCCTATTATATTTCTACTAAATACACTTGCTTTTATTTTTAAGTATCATTTTGTTAAATTCCTTCAAAAAGCGCTTTCTTTTTTTTTTTTTAAATGCAATAATTTTTCACAATTCTTGAAATGATTTAAATAAATTTAATTTCTTAATGATCTATCTTTTAATTCCATGATTAATTAATCTAATTAATATGATAAATTAAAATCTAATTCAAATTGATTTTTCTGTGACTGTTAATTTTCTTCAATTTTTTCTCTTATTTTCTTAAAACGCATTATTTGGGTTTTTGGTTTTAAATTTTTATTGTATAATTTTTTTAAATATATTATCAATAAAAATACAAAAGGATCATCATTATTTAATTTTTTATAATTTTATCTATAATAATCAGTTCTCCAAATATTTTCATTCTAATTAACTTTACAAA